TAAAACCTTATTATCGAGCTCGCCAGGCTTTGCGTGGGCACAAGATGGCGGGGGGGGGGGCCTCCCTCCGCGACAGCCTTGCACGATGGCTGACCAAGGGAGAGCACAGGGTACCAAGCCCTTGGCAGCGAGAAGTCCAGCGGCGCGCTGACTACTGCAACTGACTGCTTGGCGACTGGTGGCGACTTGCCTCTGGCCCCCCTCCCGCGCATGAGGTAGGCTTGAGCTGCGGAGGGAGTCTTCTTGACATGTGCAAAATATTTGAATCCCCCCTGGAGGACGCAAAGCGAGCGACGGTCCAACGGGCCCCAAGCGACCGACGAATCGAACGACGAGGAGGGGTCTCTATGGCGTGCCTCCAGGGGGGGCAGCTCTGACTATGGGGCCACGCCTGCAATGCGATCAGCGCGCTCACGGGCGGAGCCTGCGGGCGGAGCCAAGGTCGGACCCCCGCCGTTGGCCTCGGAGCCCGTCGCCGCTGCTGCGGCGGCGCCAGGCTGCGGCAGCGCCTTTGCTTTCGACCGTGGCCCCCGCGGCTGCGCCTGCCGAAGCAGGCGCAGGATGCCCAGCGAGCGCAGGCGTCGCAGGGGCTGGGCGATAGGCATCAGCTGCTCCAGCACCAGGCTGTGCGGCGGCTGGCGGAGCACCCCCGCCTCCTTGCATCTCAGCCTCCTCGTCTTCGTCAGTGCGCCGCCGCTTGGCGGCCAACCTCTTGAGGTGCGCCGCGTGCGTCTGCCTGAGCTCGTCCATCTTCTGCTTCGCATCCGCAAACAGGGCGCCCGCCATGGACGGGAGGCCTTTCCTGAGCTGCTGCACCCGCGACTCGATCTCCACGTTGTCCTCTTCGCCGAGGTCAAGGCCGTCACATTTGAACATATCCCACACACTGATATCGAAGACCTGTGCGAGGCGATTATGATCCAAGGTGTCCTCAAGTGAGAGCCTGCACTGAACCGTGGGGGACCTATCCCTCGGAACTACTTGGGGCTCAAGTGAGCACTGCATCAGGGAGTTGTGTTCTGCCTCCGCGGTGATGGCCTCGCTACGCAACTCCAGGACCACCGTCTTCTGCTCTGCGAGCTGGCGTTCCAAGGATTCGGGGTTCCCCAGGGCTGCCTCGAGCTTCTTGTTGACCCCGCATACCTCCCAATGGGCTTTGTTGAGGCGGACCTGGACAGACTCTGGAGCTTCCTTCGGCGCCGTGAGGGCCTTGGCAGCACGACGATAGGCTTCAGCCTACTTCCCTTCGCCGAGCTTGTCGCGTAGGGATGCCATGGTCTCACACTCATCCGCCGAGAGGCTCGCAGCTCCAGCGCGCGTGCCGTTGGCTGGGCCGCCGCAGCCCTTGCCAGGGTGGGGCCTTCCTCCAGCCCTCCAAGGGGAGGCGCCAAAATGGCCGGTGCTGTAGCCGAACAGCTGCTGGGCCGCATCGCCTTGCCAGGCCGAGGACTGACCTGAGGAAGGCTTGTAGGACCCGCGTTGCTTGCAATAGAAGAAGATTCTCGCAGCAGTCTTGGCGCAGCCACAAACTTCGCACTCCCACCTCTTGTTCTGAACTGCGTCGGCACCGGCGCCAGCACCGTACTGAGGACCATGAACCAGAGGGGGCCAGCCAGAACCCGCGCGCCCAGGGAGACCTGGGAAGCCCTTGCACTTGCCGTATTACCCCTGCTGGCCCCAGGACATCGCTGGAGAGGAGCCGTGGTGGTGATGCTTGGAGGGCGAACTCCAAGGAAATGAAATCCGAATTGGGGCGAACCAGTCGGAGAGGAAACGTCGGGTGCAAACACCCTGGCACTGCCGCGGACTAGCGGTACCAATTTGTTTCGCAGGGAGGCACAACATTTGAGCCAAATTGGCTATGGAGCTCGAACGTGTTAAAGGGTGTGCCGAGTTGGGGGCGGTGGCGCCATGAGAATCCTGCCAGTGGAGTCTTCGGGAGAGCTCGCTACAGTGATAGCCATGCGACTGACGATGATGCTGGCGCTGATGATGATGGTGGTAACGATGATAATGTCGATGGTGATGAGGATGATGCGGATGAGGTTGGTGATGCTGTGCTGGCATCGGCGGTGGCGGTGATGTTGCTGCTGGGTATGCTGCTCATTATAATGTTGTGGATGACGATGACGACTATGATGATGATAACGATGACGCTGCTGCTGCTGATGAAGATGACGGCGACGATGCTGATGATAATGGTGATTATGATCCTGATGATGATGCTGATGATGCTGATGATGACGACGCTGACGTTGATGATGATGAAGATGAGGAAATTGCTTATGATTATGTTGATGATGATGCTGATGATGGTGATGATGGTGGTGATACTAATCATTGTGATGATGATGATGATGATGATGATGATGATGATGATGATGATGATGCTACTGACAATGATGGTGCTGCTGCTGATGATGCAGATTATGACGATTGTGGTGATGCTGCGCATGATGATGACGATGCTGATGCTGATGCTGATGCTGCTGATGAGGATGATGATGATGATGTATGATGATGATGATGATGCTGATGATGCTTATTATGATGCTGCTGATGATGCTGATGCAGATGATGATTGTGACGACGATGCATATCATGCTGATGATGCTGATGCTGCTGCTGCTGCTGCTGATTATCATGATGACCATGCTGTGTGCTGATGATACTGATGATGCTGATGATGCTGCTGATGATGATGGTGATGCAGATGATGATGATGATGATGATGATGACGATGATGATGAGGATGATGATGATGATGATGATGCTGATGCTCAGGCTGATGCTGATGCTGCTGATGAGCATGCTGACGTTCATGACGATTATGCTGCTGATGATGATGATGATGATGATGCTGATGCTGATGTTGCTGATGATGATGATGATGATGATGATGATGATGATGATGACGATGATGATGATGATGATGATGATGATGATGATGATGATGACGATGCATTTGCTTATGCTGATGCTACTATTGATGATGCTGCTGCTGATGATGGTGAGGATTTGATGATCGTGACGATGACGACAACGACGACGGCGATGGCAGACGCCGACGATGATGACGACAGGGACGACGATGACGATGAGTACAGGGACAGGGATGGGAGGAGGCATGAGGGGGAGGAGGAGGATGAAGGCAGGAAGGCAGGAGATGCGGGGCGCTGCTGATTCACCGCGGGGTCGGAACATCACAGGATGGTGGGGCAATGAGGAGACGCCGGGGTTGCAAGCGGGAAGGCGCCAGAGATCAGGGCCTGATGCCCTGGCCCAGGGGGAACGACAAGAGATCGGGACACCGGCCCGCGAGAGAGCTCCTTCGGCTGGTGCATCGGAAAGGGCAGATGTGGAGCTTTCCCGGGCGGTGCAGCAGGGAGGGCAGAACATCCATTCAACTTCTTGTCCACGCACGCGGGGTTCGAACTCGGACCTGGCTGCGAGGGGCCCAGGGTGCGGCGTCGCACGAGCCGACAAGATGGAAAAGGCCCCCGCCCTACGCCTCCCCAGCGGGGAGGTTGGGGGGGAAGGGTGGGAGGAGGGGGAAGGGCGGGGAGTCCCCGCCTCTCCCCCTCCTCCCCCGTCCTCACCGCTCCCCTCTCCCCTTTCCCCCCCCCCTCTGCCTCTTGCTCCCCCAGGAGAACAACACTTAATGCGACCCACCAGAACACCCAAGGAGTCAGAAAAACGCCCAAACACGTCAAAACCGTTTCGACCCTCGGCAGCTTGCGGTGCAGCTGGCGGTCTACAGGCGCACCTCCTGACGCTCCATGGGATGGTGCGCGGACCTGCCTCATCCGAGGTAGTCAGGAGGCTGGGGGAGGAAGGAGGCTACGCCGTGCCGCCGAGCTAGTAGACTGCATGTCCGTCTTCTCCGCCCTGGCCTTGGATCCTGTTCGACCACCTCCGGAAAGCAGCATGGCTGGTAATTTTTGGTGGCTATTAGACCAGCTCCGCACCGAGCACATCGATGATTTGCTGTCGATACCAGAGACATGCGGGCCGAGCCTATCATGAAGGCGAGCCTCGGCCGTGAACTCATTCTCGACATCATGGACGGGAAGCTCAGCTACGGCTACGGCCGCGACACCCTCCGGCTGAGCGAGGTTCGACAGAAGAAGACAGTGCCGAGTTCGCTCCGCAGTCGTCTCGTTCACGAGGGCAGGAGCGACCAGAATCACGGCGCCACCGGTTCGCCCTACAATGCGGGCAAATTCGCCCCGGGTTCGCATTGACTATAGCAGCGCAGCCCACTGTCCCAACGAGGGCAAGGGATAATGCAGACGCTCGCATGTCGCGAACTATGTTCGCGAATGCGACGCGATAAGCATCCGAGCGAGAGGGCTGCTTCCACGAACTACGTTCGTGGAGGAGCAGGTGATTGAAGTCGAGCATGGGACTGTTGCTTGGGACTTATTTCCAGGGTGGGGGCGTGGTCAGTAGAACGTCCTCTCATCAGCTTGCATGCCACGTCGTTAGTTCATGCACTGTTTGCGAGCGTGGGCCGACGAGGCACATCAGTCTCGCTTGAGCACCATACTCGAACGGTATCTATTCCACTGTCGCTGAGTGTTCGCCCCGCCTGTTTTGCTGCCGCTGTGGCTCAAGCCTGCAGCGTTCGCGTGCCCGTTCGCGTTCGCAACAGCAAGGAAGTAGCACGGCAGGAAGAAGAGGTGGTGAGCCCCCTCATACTGCTCTTGTGTGGTCCTTTATTGGAGCGACAGTGGGTCGCACAGATGCTTGTGGTTCTGGCACTCCCGTTTAGTATTCGTTGGGCTTCGTCGGCATTTGTATACTATGTTGTACTATGTTGACGAAGTTTGGACGGCATGTGGGCGGAATCGGGAAAGAGGGCAATGCTGCTCCTCCTCCTGTTTCTCTTCTTTTTCCTCCTCCTCCTCCTCCTCCTCCTCCTCATCATCATCATCATCATCATCATCATCATCATCATCATCCCCCTCCTCGTTCTGGTCCCCCACGCCCAGCGCAGCGAGGCTGCCCCCACGCGCGCGGCCGAGCCTGGCGCGCCCCCGTCGAAGCATTACCTGGCGCCCCAGGATAGCGCGGAGGGGGTGAGGCGTGATGAGGACGATGCTGATGCTGATGCTGATGTTGATGCTGATGCTGCTGCTGATGATGCTTACGATGACGACGGTGACGACGACGACGGTGGTGGTGATGATGACGGTGCTGGGTGGTTGTGGTGATGGTGGTTGTGGTGACGGTGATGGCGATGGTGTAATGGTGGTGCGACGAGAAGGAGTTGGAGGAGGAGTTGGAGGAGGAGGGTGAAGGCGGAAGGAGGAACAAGGGTGGAAGAGGATGGGGGCGGCGGCGGGAGGATGAGGGGTGGGGCGCGGGTGAGCGTAATGATGGCATCGGCGCGGGAGGCCAGAACAAATGGCGGCGGAGGATGTAAGTAACAACTGCCTCTAAGACCAGTTTCTTCGATGCCAACTGTTTCACATCGGCGCCCCAACATATGTTTAATTATGACTAGGGGCGTGTGTGGATATATCATGGCTGGGGCCATAATGCCTTCCAGGTCTCATGGCCCCCCCATTTTTTTACACACGCCCCCTGCCCCAACCCCCCCGCCCCCAGAGCCCCGACGTGGTTGTTTTGTTTACCTCTTTCCGTTTTTCTCTGAACGTGTTGACCCGCGACATCTGCCTTCTTTCCCTGGGCTTGTTGTGTCTTGTATTTTTACGTGTCATTGTTTGAAGGTCCTGTGGTCTGGCGAGGACCCCCTGGGGCCGAAGACTGCGAAATACCTCCCGCCGTGACTTTTTCACAGCGCGAAGGGGGTTGGGGTCCGCGCAGACTCCTCGGGTCATGATGCGCCAACACTCTTTTACTAGACGAAGAACGGCATGACACAAATTTCTACATCGTCGGGGATGCCTGCCCCAGGGCGGCTGGATGGTTTGTACCTCGACGTGCCACCGTAATGTCAATTTGTGATTAACGAAACATGGGGTGCGCGTGGTTAAAAAATGCTTCTTCTGCTCGTGCGACTCGCGGGGGGGGGGGGGCGCCCGCCAAATTGAAATACACGGCGGCGGCGCCGGTGATTAGCACCGACGCCCGGCCGACTGCAGGAGGGCGACAGGCGCGACGCACGCGGCGCCGCTTCAGCGGAGGGGGACAGTAACGCTTCCAATATAGCGGGGCGGTCGGGTCAAAACGTTTAGAGAGAGGAGAGAAAATGGAGGCGGGGGAAAGAGGCGCCTCGGCTGGCGGGCGATGCCGACATGGCTACAGCCAAGAAGCGGAAGAGAGGGGGAGGAGCGGAAGAGGCAGGCCGAAAGGGTTCCTCCTTCTCCTCCTCCCCCCCACTCCACTACAACGTCCTACGACGACGACGATGACGACGATCACGACGACGGCGACAACGATAGTAACGGCGACGGCGACGGCGACGGCGACGGCGACGGTGCTTGCGACGGCGACGGCGACGGCGGACGACGACGCATTGCGGATGCTCCTTGGGGGGGGCGGGGGTGGTGCGTATGCACGCTGTAGCCGTCGACGAAGACGACGACGACGACGACTAAGACGAAGACGACGGCGTCAACAACGCGACGACGACCGCGGCGACGACGACGCATTGCGGATGCCCCATGGGGGAGCTGCGTAGGCCCGGCCCGCTGTAGTCGACGACGGCCACGAAGACGACGACGTCAACAACGCGACGACGACGTTAACAACGCGACGACGACGGCGGCGACGACGACGCACTGCGGACGCCCCATGGGGGGGTGAGGGGCTGCGTAGGCCCAGCCCGCAGTAGTCGACGACGGCGACGACGACTGTGGCACTTCAGTAATCAGCCTGAGAGGGGCAAGAGTCTTCTCGGATGTATGCGATCCCTATAACAATTTTTATACAAAGGGCAATCGTTTTTGAGGCTGCCGTGCAGGGGGGTACACGATTCCCTCGACGGCGACCGCGACGACCCCCTGGCGCGCGCCATTGAACAAATTGTTTCGCGCCCCGCGGGGTCTATTCATCAGCCCCGGGGGGGGCTCATTTGTGAACCACAAGCTGACATTAGGGGTATAAGCTTTCTGGTCGCCCTGTGGCAGGCGCTCCCGATGGCGGACAAATTTATGTTTTACTCTTCCTCGTCCAGGACATAATCCTGGTCCCCCTCCTCGGCGCACTCAGGTCCTACGGTAGGCTCGCGTCGTGCCGACAGGTGGCGACCCCGCCGCCATAACGCCGCTGGCGACCCAGGATCGGTGGATCTTGGACGACTTGGCGTGTCGGAATCGGCCGATCGTGCAAGATTGCACGATCTCCGCGGTGTCAGGAACCAACGCCAGGGTCGGCACGATACGAACTTGCTGTAAAAAGCTCTGTGGGCCCTGGAAGCAGGAGCAAGCGGCCATCCGCGAGCTGGTCGGTAACTCCGAGTGCTTCGACTGCGGCGCGGAGCGGCCGCAGTGGGCGAGCGTCAGCTACGGCACCGTGCTCTGCTACCGCTGCGCAGGCAGCCACCGCAGCTACGGGGTGCACCTGAGCTTCGCGCGCGGCTCAGCTCGCCAAGCAGAGGAGGGACACTCCCATCCTCCTCTCTCGACTACCCGTCAGAGTGACCCTTCGCCGGTGTGACCTTGAGGGAGGTTCCACTGGAACCCCCGATCGCTGACTGCGATGCGATAGCAACGGCCTTCGCGCTTGGGTTTGCCCCCCTCGCGCCCCCACAAAGCCGCGCACCAAAAATCACTCCTGCCTAGGGTCACTCTGAAGTGCAGCCGACTCCCACTCTCGCCGTGAAAAACCACGAGGGGCGGTTTTTGGAAGAGCTGTCGGGGGACGGAGGGACCTCCACCTTCTTTCATGCGATAGGACCATTCGGCGGCGAGCGAGGGGGGGAACTGAGAAGGAGAAGGCATTCTCAGAAGGCGGTGGAACTTCTCAGAGGCCCTCGCACCTTCTGAGAAGTTTTCTGTGTCTTCGGAGAGGGCTTAAAACATTCACCAGAAGGCCGGGAGACTTCCGAGCCTTCTGAGAAGGGACGTCCTTCTTACTTCCCTCCCTCGCTTGCCGCCGAACCATGGCGGGCGGTTTGGGCAATTCTGTGCCCCGTGGGAGCCTTGGCCCCGAGACAGTCCGAAAATCACTCCGGGTACCAAAAACCTGGTCCCGGGAAAGGGGTCCAGACCTTTGGGGGTCGGGCGTGTCCCTCTACAGGAGGAATATCCAAACATAGTCAAACAATAGTCTCGGGACGTTTTTTTTGATGTTTGACTATTCTAGGGCATTTTTGGAGTAGTGTTCCCAACCATCCTGTGGTGTTGGGTCCTCGTTCTGAAGAGACAGCTCCCCGCGTCCCACCTTCCTTCCTCCTCCTCCCCCTCCTCCCCCTCCTCCCTCCTCCCCCTCCTTGCCTCTGCTCTCTGCACACCTCTCACACGTTTCGTAGCTCCATAGGGAGCTCCACCGAAGGCCCCAGTGGGGGTGCTCGCATGCGGTTCCCCCACCCAGGGCAGCGCTTCGTGGTCCCATAGGGGGCTCCACCGAAGGCCCCACTGGGGGTGTTCGCATGCGGTTCCCCCACCCAGGGCAGCGTTTCGTGGCCCCATAGGGAGCTCCGCCGATGGCCCCAGTGGGGGTGGGGGGTCGCATGCGGTTCCCCCACCCAGGGCAGCGTTTCGTGGCCCCATAGGGAGCTCCACCGAAGGCCCCAGTGGCGCAGTTCGCATGCGGTTCCCCCACCCAGGGCAGCGTTTCGTGGCCCCATAGGGAGCTCCACCGAAGGCCCCAGTGGCTGCTTTCCCAATGCGTTCCCCCGCCCAGGGCAGCGTGGCCCCATAGCGAGCTCCACCGACGGCCCCAGTGGCTGCTCTCGGATGCGGTTCCCCCACCCAGGGCAGCGTTGCGTGGCCCCATAACGAGCTCCACCGAAGGCCCCAGTGGCGCAGTTCGCATGCGGCTCCCCCCACCCAGGGCAGCGTTTCGTGGCCCATAACGAGCTCCACCGAAGGCCCCAGTGGCGCAGTTCGCATGCGGTTCCCCCACCCAGGGCAGCGTTTCGTGGCCTCATAGGGAGTTCCACCGAAGGCCCCAGTGGCGCAGTTCGCATGCGGTTCCCCCACCCAGGGCAGCGTTTCGTGGCCCCATAACGAGCTCCACCGAAGGCCCCAGTGGCGCAGTTCGCATGCGGTTCCCCCACCCAGGGCAGCGCTTCGTGGCCCCATAGGGAGCTCCATCGAAGGCCCCCGTGGCGCAGTTCGCATGCGGTTCCCCCACCCAGGGCAGCGTTGCGTGGCCCCATAGGGAGCTCCACCGAAGGCCCCAGTGGCGCAGTTCGCATGCGGCTCCCCCACGCAGGGCAGCGTTTCGTGGCCCCATAGGGAGCTCCACCGAAGGCCCGCCCCAGTGGCGCAGTTCGCATGCGGTTCCCCCACCCAAGGCAGCGTTTCGTGGCCCCATAGGGAGCCCCACCGAAAGCGGCACCCACAACGCGTTACGAACAATTGCTTATGGTTGGGTCCTTCGCCAGGATAATTTTTTGTTGTCCAAGATCCGCCTGTAGGGGGGCATGCCCGACCTCACTCTAGCGGCGGTGAATCGCAGATTCCAAGTCAGTCATCCCCCCTGGGCCAGTTAGTCCCCCCCTTCCGTCCCCCTCTGGGGGGGGAGGGTCGGGGAGGACGGCGCTTTGGGGAGGCCTTCAGTCTCCCGGGAAGGCCGCCATGCTGGCGACCCTCGAGGCGCGTGGATTGGCGATGGACCACGCTTTCTTTACGGAGCCGAGGCACTCTGTCGCCAAACGTGGCGGTTTTGGCTTCATGTTTCGAAGGCACCTTCCTGATCCATGGATCTGGCGCCAGGGCGCCAGGCATGTTAGCGCGTGCCCGACATCTGGAGGGCGCCTGAGCCAGTGCCGATATGCCCTGGACTGTCGGGCTCGCGGCGCTGGCTTGCCGCCGCTGTGGATCGTGGCTGGCGTGTGGGTGCGCGCCCGAACCGATGCATCCTCCGGAGTCGCCAGCTTTCAGAAAGCTTCCGATGCGTTCCTGTTTGATTGTGTACCCGTCCTGGCTTCGTCTTAGCACCGGGCCATTCCCGCGACACTGACTGGCTCACAGCGCCGTGGATTTGGGAAGAGCCTTCGGTGGCGAACGTTGTGTTTGCTTGATCTTGCGGCCGGTCCTGGTGAACCTGAAGGGAGGAGGAGGAGGAGGAGGAGGAGGAGGAGGACGAGGGGGATTTGGAGGGAGGCCCCAGGAAGGGCGCGACGCAACCGAGGAGTTCGCGGGTTCAAGACGACGACGATGACGACAGGAGTGAACACTGAAGGCCTTCGCGGGTCTTTCGCTGTGGGATGCATTTGGAGGCTGATTGCAGCCATCTTGGTGCTCTGTGTGGTAGACTAAACGAGTTTTTCATTTGCCTTTTCGGGGTCTCCTGGATCCCTTTGAGAGGCCTGGGGGGCTCTCCTGGGGCCATCTTGGAGCAAAGAGTTCTAACAGTGCGATTGTAAGTTGGCCGTGGCCCGTCGAGGCCCGAATCATTGTCTTCTTTGGCTGGTCTTGAGGCTGTCCTCGTCGCTCTCTGGCCCCCATCGTGGACGATGCTTAAGGATGTTATCATTTCGGCGAGTTTGTCGGAGGCACCGTGGCCACTGAATGTAGAATGAAGACGACAGGCAGCTAGCCCGCCAGCACCGACTGAGCATTACAGTGTTGATGCGGAAATTGGCGGTTTATGGTTGGATTGCTTCCCAGCCAGATCAGTCTTCACTACGGGTTGTTGTTCTGACACCTGGTTCATCAGCACCTTCGCGACCCGCCAGCGTTCGGGCACGGGGAAGGCCACGCATATATTTGCCACGGTTAAACCCAGTTATATGGGAGGAGGCGAAGCTAGCCATAGCCTCCTGTCCTCCTCCCCCCCCGCCCCTCCGCCTCCTCCCCTCCCCACTCCTTCCTTCCCTGCTGATGATGCTTAGAAAGTATTGTTCAGGCACCCTCGTTTTGCAGTGCATGGACAGCCAATTTGGAAAGCAGTTGTCCAACAACATGGTCGTTGCACTGACCCTACATGTGCCTAGTTGTAACCTCGGACTGCCGCCCTTCCTGTGCGGCTGCGGCAGGTATTTTTTCCCCTGCCGAGCTGATGTGTCGTGCGACATGGCTCTTTGTGAGTGAGTGAGTGAGTGAGCGTGGCCACTTCGAACCGTCTTGGAGACGTCGTGGGACCTCCTCGACTCATGCTGGAGGCCACCTGGATCCAACTTGGCCCGGATCAATCACTCGGAAGCGGGGGGGGAGAGCGGGGCACACCCTGGGCCCCCCCCCCTGGTGGGGAAGGCTTCAACGGCAGGGGGGTTCCCTTCGACTTGACCACGGCGTTGCGTCAATTTCCTTTGGGTTGACGCGCATGGGGCACATGGAGACGCTCCGAAGACAGCCGACTTGGGTTGGCGTGCATTGAGACGCTCCCGGTGTAGCCACAGGGAAGCGGTAGCCATCCGCAGCTGGATGGGAGGCCGTCAATCTTTCGCACATCAACAGGGTTGGCGAATGCGCTGGAGCACGGCGACGGCGGCAAGAGAGCCAGTCGGAGCAGTAAGCGCGCAAGCGTGCTCTGGTGCTGGATTTGCCCGTGAGGTTCTCGAACGAGATTCCAAGCCCGCCGCCTCCCTTTGTCCACGCATGCTAGGAGGGTCTGTCGCTCAACTCTCGACCATCTGGAGGAGCACTGGCGCGAAGAGTTGGGCCAGGGTGAGCTGAGCATGAGGATGAGGCTCAGGATGGTGACGGTTGACAGACGACGACAGACGACGGTTGATGGAGAACACGCCACCCTTTCAGATCCGACGTCTCGAAACAAATGCCACAGCGCAACAAAAATCGGCCAGTCCGTGGGCCCCGTGGGCCCGGGGCCCGAAACTGGGTGCAACAACTGCCAGTTTTGAAAACATGAGGCGCCAGGATTAAGTCGGGCGTGTCCCTCTGCAGGAGGAATGACTATTCAACAATAGCCAAACACTAGTATGGGGACGATTTGTTTAAATCATTTCTGAAACTTTTCAGAATATGGCTTGACTTTTCCTTTCCGTCTGAAGCCCCCATGTAGGGGGACATGCCCGACCTAATCTCCGGGACGGACGACGCGCGACGACGACGGACGACGGACGACGACGACGGGCGCTCGGCGACGGACGATTGACGACGGCGGCCGGCGCTTCGCCGCCGCTCCTCGCGCGAAGGGGTCAGTGCCTGCCGCTCCACCTCCTCCCGCTCCTCCTTCCTCCTCCCTCCGTCCTCCAGCCGCCGTCCCGGGTCGAGGCTTTGGGTGCAGTGCCCGCGGTACCAGGTACTGCCGCGCGCTGCGAGCCTCGCCCGCGGACAGCTGCCATACGCGCCGCGGCCGCCGTGCCCGCCTGGCGCGCTGCGGGCCAGCCGTGCCGCGGGCTTCTCGCGAGGGCGCCACGCCTCGCGGGCGCCGAGGCGGACGCCCCAACCCAGCTTGGCACCGCCGTGCCCGCTGGCTGCGCGGCCAAGCGAGGACGC